AACGAGGCATAAACGCTACTGATAATGAGAAGGACAAACAAGCCATTTGGATGATAACCTCATTTTAAATTAATAATTCAAGCGACAATAAGCCCCAGTTATTGCAGGCAAGTTTTTATTAGTCCGTTTATGTCGGGATAAAGTTCTTACATAGTAAAAAATACATTTGGATACATATTTATATCAATAAACAGAGTTGCTCTTTGTTGAGTTCTGCTTTTACGGTCCGGTTATAAAATGAGTTTTTTTTATTACGATCAAAGCTATTAGATACTGGAAAAGTTTTAATGGCCACATTACGAGAAAAGTAATTATTCCAAGTTGTACGACAATCCCAAGTGTGATTTTTTTCACTCAAACCGTACGGCATATTTTGGTATGATTTGCATTTAGCAAGCGTAATGCTCTTGGACGAAAAACTGCATAGATACCAGAGACATTAAAGAACAATTTTCTGGCTAATTTATTATCTAAATGGTACATCTCCCCTTTTATTCCCCAATATTTCCGAAACAAAATATGGTCGGAATTACCCATATATCATTTCTATCTGGGACCATTACAGATAAAACGATGTGTCGGCATTATTATAATTTGTGGCTGGTCGGTTCGAATTTGGCGCGGAGGAATAACGGCCGGTAATTGGTCGTACGGACAAACTGTCACTCGGGAACACACCCCACAGCATAGTTCATTTTATCTATCAATATTTCGAGACAGGACAGCTTTTAAAGTGCTTTTCTAAAAGCAACTGGAATCATAGATCTCCACCAAGTTAAGGGAATTTATATCATGAATAATAATATATCTCCTATTAAAGGTATATAGAAGTATGGAGGAAAATTAGGAGTGTAGTTCACGTAAAGTTTTCGCAGTTTTCACCCAACTTTAAACTATCTACTTAATGAATTTAAGTTGTAAGAAGCTATTTACGTAAGCCAGAGAGTGTGTTATATAGGATGTTCTAAAAGCGACGTAGTTTCTGTGGGTAGTGTTTAGTAATCTAAATCTAGACGCACAAAAACTACTTCTGCTCACGGTTTCATTTAATTTGAAGCTTAGTTTAAAGTGCTAGCAGAAGTTCTAGGTTTCGAAGTTCATATTCTGCATCTCTTTATGTTGTCCAAACTGATAAGTTCTTTTGATTTAAGCAGTTCATCAGGATGCAACAATATTTTTACTTCCAGAGCGTAAGCTGAGGAAATAAGTCTCGTTTTCGTCTATCCGTCGGTCTGTCGTCTGTCCGGATTTAGGCGTTTTAAAGTTATCGTAAGCATGGTAAATGGTTCTCATAAAAAATTGGAAGGTTATTTGAACAGAACTTCAGACTTTTTCGAAAAATTTTATTTTGTTTTTGCAATTTTTGTTTTCTGATATCCTCTATAAATGAAAATGCAGGGGCGTAAATAACGGTCCCATAGCTTTTTTGACTTGAATTTTTCAGTTGTTCAATTTTTCATTTTTTTTGTTTCATTTTTTCCATTTCAAATTTTTCGACTTTTCAATTTTTGGATTTTTCAATTTATAGATATCGCAAATTTTCATTTCAGTTTTTTATTTTCTTTATTTTTACAATTTTTTCAATTTTATGTTCCGATTTTATAATTTTTTGTTTTTCCAATTTCACTTTTTTCAATTGTTCGTTTCGTCAATTTTTACATTTGCAGTTTTATCATGTTTCATATGGTAATTTCGTGTAGAAAAATGATGATTTTGGAACTAAACTCCACCATTCAGCCCACGATGAATTAAAAATTGAGAAGGGGTGGGTGGGCGGTTCTTATATTTTGTGCAGTTTTTCTTAATATACGAAGTCTTTTTTTCCAACAAGAAACTGAAAACGTGTTAACTATCCTGTTGTTAAAAGAAAACTCTATATATTAAAAAAAAGAATAAAGATTAAACCCCACCCACCCGCCCCGATATTGCAAAATATATATTTCTCTACAAAAATTTACTATTTTCAACATGTTTTAAGTTTCTTGTTGTGAAAAGAAGATTACAGGTATTATAAAAAAAGGCAATCAAATCTGTCAAATTAAACAAAGCATAACCTTAATCATGTAATTAAAAGTACGGTACAAACGGGCATTACAAATCGAATAACTACAAAATTGAAAAAACCAAATATTGCAAATTCGAAATCCTGGAAATTAAAAAATAGGAAAATGGGATAAATGAGAAATCCAGAAATTGCAAAATCAAAAAATTTGAAAATCAGGAAATCGGGGAACTGAAAAATGAAAAATTTAAAAGTCGGAAGGAACATTGAAAAAACAAAGGAAATGAAAATTAAAAAATCCGGAATATGAAAAATAAAAATAAAGAACTTGAAAGTTGAGGAAACAAAAAATGGAAAAATCGGAAAATTAAAAATTAAGAAACTGAAGACGCGAATAATGAAAAATTATAATATGTATCGAAAAATTGCAAAATCGAAAATTTTCAAAACGAAAAATTTCAAAACGAAAAATTCAACAAACGATAAATTGAAAAATTTGCAAGCGTAAAATTGAAAAATTGAAAAAATTGGGGTCGGTTTATGGAAAGCGAATTAAATATTAAATCCTCGATTAATTTAATTTTAATAGAATTAAAATGTAGAATTCCAGCCTGTGATTTGTTAAAATATGCACCTTGCATAGCAACGGATCTCAATTAAAATTAATCGCGATTAACTTTTAATTCGCTTTATTAGTTTTCCGATTTTTCAACTTTTGAAATAAAAAAAATGGAAAAATTACAAAATTCTAACTCAATCTTTTTCATTCCTTCAGTTTCTCGATTTGCAATTTTTCAAGTTTTTAAGTTTATATTTCTCGCTTTTTCAATTTTTCAACTCTTGAATTTTTCAATTTTTGGATTTTGCAATTTTTCGATTTGACTTTTCAATTTTTAATTTTCCATTTTCTCGTTTCGGTTTTTCATTTTTTTAATTGTTTCAAATTTTTCGAGTTTTCAATGTTTTGATTTTATAATTTTTCTTTTTTTCCCATATGTATTTTTGAATTTTTGGATTTTTCAATTTTTAGGTTTTCAGTTTTGCGATTTTTTTATTTTTCGTTTCTGTTCTCAATTTTTTAAGTTCTTTATTTTTATTTTTAATTTTCTCGATTTTTTAATTTTCATTTTCTAGATTTTATCGAAATTTTTGGTTTTTTCATTTCCTTTTTTTTTTCCCAATGTTTTGTTCGATTTTATAATTTCTGGTTTAATGAATTTCTCAAATTTTCAATCTTTGATTTTTCAGTTCCCCGAATTTCCAAATTTTTTATTTTTTTTTTCATTTTCAATATTTCGATTTAAAGTGTTCATTGTATACTTCTTTGTTTTTTCATTTTTGATTTTTAAATGTTACCATTTTGCCTTTTCCATTTTCCCATTCGAAAAGTTGAAAAATCGAAAAATTAAGAATCGAGATACTAAAAAATCAGAAAAAATTGAAAAAGCAAAAACTGCAAAATTGAAAAAGTGGAAATTCGTAGAAATGAAGAATCGAAAAATTGAAACATTGAAAAACTAATTACGGAGAAACTTAAAGATCGAAAAAATTACTGAATCGAAAAATTGGAATAAAGTAAAAACGAACCGAATCGAAATACTGGAAAACCCGAAAATTGTAAATTCGAAAAAGTGTACAATCGTCAAAATTGTAAAGTCGAAGCGCTTTAACATTGCAAGAACGAAAAATTTTTTCCAATTTTTCTCTTTTTCATTTATACGATTTTTCAAGTTTACAATTTTGACGATTCTATAACTTTTCGATTTTACAATTTTTGAGTTTTCCAATTGTTTGATTCGATTGGTTTTTTCTTCTTTGCAATTTTAGTATAAAGTATAAAATGAAAAGGTTGAAAAACCTAAAAATTGGAAATCAAGAACTTGAAAAGAAGGAAAATTGAAACACCGCCAATTAAAAATTGAGAAACTTAAAAATCGAAAAAATACTAAATCAAAACAACGAAATATAGTAAAATCGAAATATTGAAAATTAAAGAAATCGGAAAATCGGATTTGAGAAATTTAAAAATTCACGAATTGAATGAACGAAAATTTATAAAATCAAAAGAAATATTGAAAAAATAAAGGAAATAAAAGACGAAAAATTGTGATGTAAAATCAGAAAATGAAAATGAAACCATCCGGAAAATGAAAAATAAAATTCAAGAACGTGAAAAATCGACGAATGGAAAAATTTAAATAAATTGACTCATTCATGATTTTTTTTTGAGTCACTCAGTGTACGAAATTTAAAACCTTTTAATGCAATAATAAATCACAATATAGATTCATGATACATATTTTGCACATTTCGGATAGGATTTATTAGGCAAAATTTTGAAATGAGGTTATCAATTTTTTGGGAGGGGATAAACGAATACATTTTGCTTAACGATTTACCATGATTACGATCACTTTAAAATATTTACAAAATTTCAGAGTAATCGGTTTTGCAGTTTCAAAGTTATATTGCAAAATATTGTTATTCAGCTTTTAATTTTTTCCAAAAATTCTGGATGTCTAGGGTGAAAATTTGACACGGATTCAGACACCACAAAGAGCACGTCTATTCTTATACCATCCATTTGGCAGAAACATAACCTTATATTTTAAAACAAACAGTTTCGCTCACATATCCAACCATTGCGGTTTTAAAATGTAAAGTTACACACAGTTTCTGTCGACCTCGTTGGATATGTGACAAAAACTGTTTGTTTTAAATTGTAAGGATATGTTTCTGCCAAAGGGATGTCATAAGAGTAGACATGCGTTTTCAGTGGCCAATTTCTGTCAAAATAACCACGACCAATTTTTTTAATTTCTGAAATGTGCTTATCGTAAGTGAAAAAATCCAGAGGGTCATTGCTGACTGGATGTAATTTCCGTTTCTACAAATTTTTGCTTAGGATTATTTATAGTATTTTTGAGATTTTTGGAGAATACATACAAACATTAAAAAAAAAGGAAATACAAAATTTAGAACGAAAAGGTTAACTTACACTTTCGATGAAGTGGGATATAGTCGTCGAATGTACATCTCTTCTGAAACAAAAGAATATTTACGTAAATACATATTTTACTGGTGTTCTTAAGATCGGGATCATAGTGGGTACGATTAGGATTTTTGGTTTTGTAAAATCTGTAATCGGGCTCTGGATTTACGTTGTATTTTATCAGTGAATTTAAATCCTTGGAGTGATTTGAATCCGCATTCTTGGCAAATTCTTCACCCTCTATAAATCTCTTCAGAATTACTTTTTTATTAAACAACAGTTTGGATAGAATTTTTGAGTAGATTTGGAGAAATTTATAGCATGTATCTTATCGAATCTAAAATTCTTGGCCAGTGATTAATACCATAAGTTTATCACAATTATTTTAAACACTTTTTTGATAACAGCGTTGCGTGTGGCGTTGTTACCAATCAACCAAGATGAAAAAATATTAGGTACACAAAAATGTTTAATTTGAATATTGCGACAAAGGAAAATTTTTCTTTTATCTTTGCTTGAAAAAAAAACATTCTTAAAATTATTGACACACTTTTTAGGTTTATCTAAATCTCCTTGAATATTTTTCTTAATTTTAATTATCATTTTTATAGTCGGATCATTACAAAGTACATATTTTCGGGAAGTTTTAAAAGAAAAATCATTTGTCCTGGAAAGCACTTATAATGTCATTCCTATTGTGTTGTCACAAAACAAAGTTAATTAACCCTGATAGTGTCAAAAACTTTGCGTTACTTAGCAACCTTCTAAAGATCGACCGATAACTACCCACGAAGTTTTTAAATGTTACTTTAATTAAGTAGTTTGAATGGCTAGTTGTGCACACATTGATTTGATTCGAGTTTAGTTGTAGGTTTTTCCCGTGTTTGAGTCTGCCTTTAGAAAAATTATGAGTGAACCCCGTGCAATAATTTGAACCTGGCGCGCTGTGCAGCAGCCTGTGCTGCAATGGCCGTTCGATTTGGGGATTCCCGAATCCGTCGAAAACGGCAAAGTTTGTAAATTCGGTGTCCTGGTGTTGAGAAGCACTTTATTGTTGGCAAGATCCACTCATCTGAAAGCAAGTGACAATCTCTAATCCTTGTAGGGAGTGTTTTGTTTCGACTCTGCGTGACTCCTTCTAGGTGTCAGACTTTCGGTCGAATGGAGGGTCGGTTCAGCACACCTCCTCCCGTCCCTCCAGCCCAACGAGTGGAGGGAACGGTCGATAATACCGGGTTTTGGCTAGGGCTTCTCAAAAGGTCGGTTTATTGGCTCATTAAAATTATTAATATTGCGCCGCTGACGTCGCCGCCTTTGAATATATTTTGATTTTATTAGATTAGGCCGAGGCGTGCTGTCAAAAATCTCCGTGGAGTTAAGGTTTTAACGTCCGCGGTAATTAACTGATTATTTACATAGCATAATGGATTAATTACGGTAATTAACGCCAAGTGGAAAGTTCAACGTAATCCGATCAAAAAATTACGTGCCGCCTTGGAGGCAATGCCGACGTTAAAGGATTAGCCCCCGTCCTCTCGCCTTCCCGTTTAATCGGTCGTTTTGCTGCGCCGATCGCCTCCGTTTCATAAACATCCCGTAGGGCCTGCTATGGGGGCCCGAAGGGGGCCGAGTCCCCGGCGCGCCACCCTACGACCTAATACCAATAATTTTAATAATTATTCCAGACATTCCGAAACCTGCCACGAACCCACCTATGCTCGTTATGTGTAAAGACTAACTTAATAGCGTCCCAAATAATTGGACCATCGCATCGTTTCCCGACAATAACGCACTGAAAAAATGATTGCGAGACAACACTGCGAAAGCGGGCAACATCTTGTTGTACACTTGAGTGTCATCACAACCCCTGCAGTTGTCGGGGGCACAGGTTTACACTTAAAAATCGCAGATTTCAAAATAGAATGCGATCAACAATGTCTCTGTCTTTCTCTTACACACCGTTTTGCCTACTTATGGACTATAGTGGTTTCAAAAAACGTGAAAAACACATTAATTTTGGTTATTACCTCCTAACCAGTAGCCATAACTGCTTGATTCAACTAGTACACATTTGTTTCTGGTATTTGCAAATACTTATTTGCATAACTAGTGCTCGAAATGGTACTTTGGCGGACGAGAACGAAGTTAAAAACTCATTTGAGACTGTAAAAACATTCGCGAACGAGTTACACACTTGTTTTTACCACTGCACTTTAACAATAAAATAATTTGGCACGAGTTTTATAGCAAACAAAAAAGCTAAGTAGCGTAATTTCCAGCGAAATATCTTCATCTGTGTCGAGAAAACGGCGTACGTGAAAAAATTACGTTTTATGTCGCCAGTACCGGAAAATATTTGCGATTTGACGTTTATCTTTTAATCATATTTTTAATTTGGCGGCTTATGAGCACGGAGCTGTGTGTGACGCGATTTGGACATGAGTTGATTCTGAATTTCATACTAAATTTAACGGATTTAAAAAATCAATGCTGACCCAATACGGACGCAAAAATGTGGTTCCAATTATAGCCGCATCTACTAGGATTCAAAAGTGCAATTTTTACAGAGTGCAAAGCTCGAAACGGAGTTAAATAGGTGCATTTTCAGACCACGGCGCTGCATTTTCAGGATGTTACTGAATGTGGAAAAACAGTTTTATGGATATTGTGAATCTAATAGAGTAGAGATTTTTCCGTTTCCCTCGGTAATAATTTTTCTATATACATATATAAATAGAAATATATTTTTTTAAATCTAAATTTGCCAATTAACACAAGTCCAAGTACAATGTCGTTATACCAAGAAATACAATGAATTAAAAGTTACGTTTCTGTATACATCAAGTGAATTTTAAATTTATAATGTAAAATGTGTCATTCAAATTGTTGAGCGTGATTTATCGAAAAACGATTATCTGTCACACACATGAAACCTTTAATATAATATTATTGTTCAAAAATGACGTGTGTATTCATCAAACAACCACTGTCATATAATTAAAAAAAAAGGTGAGTATTACATTTTTTCAGCAGAAATCAAGATAAGCTACCGCAAAAGCGTTTGTAATAACAAATCGTGATAATTCTTTTTTTGGAATTTATCAAGTAAAAGCTGGAAATTTAGGGTTAACAAAATATTATTCAATAGGAGCTTTAATGGATTTTTTCATTTTTATGTGTGTTGGTTATTAAGATTTGTTTTTATTTTCCGAGCGATAGCCAAAGCAATTGTTGTAATGAGATTATTTTCACGGATGTCTAGTTTCATCTCCTTTATCTTTCACAGTTCGAAAAATACAAAAAATTATAACGAAATTTATACTGTAAAAGATGTCTTAAGATACATGCGGTATTGGTTGTGCTTTAGAAGTGAATGAAGTGTAAATAACTTTATAAATTTAAGCGTGACAGATACTATGAATTTTGCACAATCTGCCCATGATAGAGATCGCTGAAATTATAAATTGATACAATACAAATTAAATTTATGGCGAATATTCTAAAATGGGCAAAATTTTATTTGATGTGTTATTGTTTTATATATTCACAGTTTGTAGCAGATAATACAAAACAAACATTTATGAAATTCTGGTATGACACTAATATTAACTTAGGTTATCTGAACAATCAAGTACAAAACGGACGAAAGGACGAACAACATAGGACGAAAACTACGAATTACAAAGGACGAGAGGAACGAACAACAAAGGACGAAAATATCGAACAACAAAAGACGAAAAGGACGTACAACAAAGAACAAAAGGACGAACAACAAAGAACGAAAAGATCTAACAACAAAAGATGAAAAGGACGAACAACACAGGACGAAAAGGACGACCAACAAAGAACGAAAAACGAAAAACAGTAAAGACTAACAAAAAGATGGAAAGCATGAAGAGTGGAGAACGAAAAGGTGACAAGGAAGTACGAAGGGCGAAAAGGTCGAAGCACGAATAGGACGAAGGACGAAAAGGACGAAAGAAGACGAGAACGAAGGACGAATAGGACGAATAACGAACGACGAAAATTATCAAGGACGCAACGGACGGAGCACGGAGAACGAAAAGGCGAGAAAGCCGAAGGACAAAAGCACAAAGGATGAAAGGGACAAAGGACAAAAAGAGTGAAGGGCAAGTAATGAAAAGCATGAACAATCAAGTACAAAACGGACGAATGACAAAGGACGAAAAGGACGAGCAACGAAAGACGAACAAAAAAGGATGTAGAGTGTGAATAACAAAAGACGAAAAGGACGAACAACAAAGGACGAAAAGATCGAACAAACGACGAAAAAGAGAACAACAAAGGATGATCAACAAAGGGCGGAAAGAACTAACAACAAAGAACGAAAAGAACGAATAACAAATGACGAAAAGGACGAACCACAAAGGACGAAAAGGACGAAAAACGAAAAACAGTAAAGACTAACAACAAAGGATGGAAAGCATGAAAGGTGAAGAACGAAAAGGTGACAAGGAAGGAGGACGAAGGACGAATAACGAAAAACGAAAATTATCAAGGACGAAACGGACGGAGCACGGAGGACGAAAAGGTGAGAAAGTCGAAGGACCAAAAGCACAAAGGATGAAAAGGACAAAGGACAAGAAGAGTGAAGGGCAAGGAATGAAAAGCATGAACAATCAAGTACAAAACGAACAAATAACAAAGAATGAAAAGGACGAGCAATGAAGGACGAAAAAGTTGAACAACAAAAGATGAAAGGACGAAAATTATGAATAACAAAAGACGAAAAGGACGAACAACACACGATGAAAAGATCGAATAACAAAAGACGAAAAGATCGAACAACAAAGGAAGAAAAGGACGAACAACAAGGACGAGAAGGGCGAACAACAAAGGACGAATAACAGACAATAAACAACAGAGAACAAAAAGGATGAACAACAAAGGACGAAAGGAACGAACAACAAAGGACGAAAAGAACGAATAACAAAGGACGAAAAGGACGAACAACAAAGGACGAAAAGGACGAACTACAAAGGACAAAAGGACGAATAACAGAGGATGAAAAGAACGAATAACAAAGGACGAAAAGGACGAACAACAAAGGACGAAAAAGTCGAACAACAAAAGACGAAAAGGATGAACAACAAAGGTAGAAAAGGACGAACAAGCAGGAGATAAGTCAAATATCCAAAACTTTAGGCCCATAGCACTATTATCAAACTTTGCAAAACTATTTGAATGTATCTTATCCAACAATATATATTCTCATGTTATAAACTATATAGTACCAGAACAACATGGTTTTGTCAAAGGAAGATCGACTGTCACAAATCTATATGAATTTACTCAGTTTGTGTCTACTGCTTTAGATGATGGTTTGCAGGTAGATGTGCTATACACGGATTTGACGAAAGCGTTTGATCGTGTAAACCATTGTGTTCTGTTTAAAAAACTTGAAATGTATGGATTTTGTGATAATATATTGCTCTTATTAAAATCAATGATTATGGGAAGAAGGCAGTTTGTCGAGTACGGTGGATTTAAGTCTTTTGAGTTTATTGTAAATAGTGGGGTTGTTCAAGGCTCTAACTTAGGTCCTTTGCTGTTTGTAATTTTCTTCAATGATGTTGTAAAACATCTTAACTGCAAATGTTTCATATACGCAGACGACTTAAAGATAGTTAACATCATAAGATCTAATAATGATTGCTTAAAGCTGCAGGGCAATTTAGATAATTTTATTACTTGGAGTTGTATTAATAAACTAGAAATTAATAAAGACAAATGCAAAATCATGAGTTGCACCAGAAAAATAGATAAAATTAACTTTTATTATAATATCAATGGTGTACTGTTACAAAAGTGTAATGCATACAGAGATTTAGGAGTCAAAATTGATTCTACTTTGTCTTTCGTCCCACATATCGAACAAATGGTTAATAGCTCTCTAAGAACGGTAGGGTTTATTATAAGAAATGGAACAGATTTTAAAGATGTATTTAGTATTAAAATATTGTTTTATACTTTAGTGAGAAGCAAACTTGAATATTGTTGCATAATTTGGATGCCTTATTATCAAGTTTATATTAACCTCGTTGAAAATGTATTACGAAAAATTGCTAAATTCATCTATTTTAAAATGTATGGTACTTATCCGCCTCAGCACTGTGACTCAAGAGTGCTATTTGATATTGTAGGTGAATCCTCACTTCAAAGACGTAGGAATATGGCATGTATATCTTTTATGCAAAAACTGATAAACGGTAACATATCTTGTACATCTATATTAGAAAGTATAAAGTTTGTTTGTCCACGTGTAAACTGTCGCACTCCAACAACATTTTATTACAAAGTACCATGTACTTATCACCATTTTAACAGTCCACTAATCAGATGTTTAAGACTGTCTAATTGTATAATACCTCATGGAGTAGACGTATTTTTTGACAACTTTTATAATCCAAGACTTAAATTAAAGCTATTAACTGTTTGTAGAAATTTTTAATTGTTTGTAAAAATTTTTAATTAAGCGTATATATTTATGTATATTTAAACCACAATGTAAGTAAACGTATCATATCATATTTTTTCCTCTGTTCACTTTAAGAAGCTGTTAGTTTTAAGTTGAAATTTGTTAGTTTTTTTTTTCTGTATTAATGTTTACAAGTATGTACCTACTAATGTAACTCTGTGTGTTTCCACCATAGACGTTAGTCTGTTGGAATTAAAATTATTATTATTATTATTATTATAACAACAAAGAACGAAAAGACGAACAACAAAGGATGAAAAATACGAATAATAAAGGATGAGAAGGACGAACAACAAAGGAAGAAAAACGAAACAGTGAAGACGATCAACGGAGAATGGAAAGCATGAGGGGGGGAGAACGAAAAGGTAACAAGGAACGAGGACGAAGGATGGAAAGGTCGAATAACGAATAGGACGAAGGACGAAAAGGACAAATAATGAAAGACGAAAATTATCAAGGACGAAAAGGACGGAGCACGGAGAACGAAAAGGTGAGAAAGCCGAAGGACCAACAGCATGAACAATCAAGTACAAAACGGGCGAATGACAGGACAAAAAGGTTGACCAACGAAGGACGAAAAAGACAAACAACAAAGTACGAAAGGACGGACAAAAAAGCACGTAAAGTATGAATAACAAAAGACGAAAAGGAGGAACAACAAAGCACGAAAAAATCGAACACCAAAAGACGAAAAGGAAGAACAACAAAGGGCGAATAACAAAAAACAAAAAGGATGAACAACAAAGGACGAAAAAACGAACAACAAAGGACGAACAACAAAGAGAGAAAGGACGAATAACAATGGACCAAAAGGACGAACAACAAAGGAGGAAAAGGACGAACAACAAAGAACAAGAACGAAAGGACGAACAACAAATAATGAAAAGTACGAATAACAAAGAACGAGAAGGGTGAATAACAAAGGACAAGAAGATCGAACAACAAAGAACGAAACTCGACAAACAGTAAAGACGAAGAACGAAGGACGAAAAGGACGAATAACGAAAGACGAAAATTGTCAAGGATGAAAAGGACGGAACACGGAGAACGAAAAGGCGAGAAAACCGAGGCACCAAAAGCACGAAGGATGAAAATGACAAAGGACAAAAAGAGTGAAGGGCAAATACAACAAAGGACGAAAAGGACGAACTACAAAGGACGAAAAGGACGAACTATAAAGGACGAAAACGACGATCTATAAAGGACGAAGAACGTGAAACAGTAAAGACGAACAAGGAAGTTTGTCGTTGCATTTTCAACTCAAACTTTCAGATTAACGAAAATTCGATCAAAGACAAATATTCAAAAATACGTGGCTGTCTTTGATCGTGTTTTTTATTGATCTATCGGTATATTTTTATTTTTTAATCTCTTATTATTTCAATATGTGGTATATATCTTCTTCTTTAGTGCTTGAATTTGTTCTCGTTATTAGATTATGAAAAGTATTTTTAAATTAGTTAATAGCTCTTTCCTTATAATTATTTCCTCATAGATATCTGTAAAACTAAAGACTGTCAGCGAATCTTTACCGTATAGAATATAGGTTTATTAAATAATTGTTTGAAAAAAACACGCTCTCCTAATATAGATCGCTGAAATTACAAATTGATGCAATATAAATTAATTATTAGCCAGTTTAAATTTGTAGCGACAGTTTTAAAGTGTGGAAAATTTTATTTCACGTTTTATTATTTTATTATCCACGATTCATTTCTTTATCGACTCTTATAACTTTTTAGTGGATTTGCTGTCGACCTATAAGTTTTCTTTGTTTTCCCTAAAATGGCTGTCATATATATGTTTGATGTTTCATTTCTAGTGAAAGCATTCTGCAGTAATTTGAAATTTATAGCACATTTTCCCCCCGTGTTTATCTTTTTGATGATATTTTTGTCGTATTTTCTCTTGAAAATGTGGTAGATTTTATCTATGTTCTTAATTAGTTGTTTCCTTAATTAATCACTCCCTGGCGACCGTTTCAAATCCACTATAGTGCGTCAAAATTTGACAAGTAATTAGTTACCGGTCAAATTTTTGACACTCGGTACTTTAAAAGGTAAAGCGACCTCATTACGAGACAATCTGCTGCACGCGATGACATTTTGACAAATTTCGGACAAGGATTGACCGATCTTGTACCCTCAGACTATCGTCCGTGGAGGTTTAGTTTTGAAACAATACATTCTTTTGCCCTATATCCCCTATATATATTAAGGACGCGCCCCTTGACCCATTATCAATTTTCCAATTTTCTTTTGCTACGCACGTTTAGTTGGTTGATTTATTGTCTTCGGTGGTTTTGTAGCTTATGTCCGGAAATGTAGAAAAATGATTTACAGTGTATGATTTTCTCTAATTTCCAGGAGCAAAAAATCTATTCCCGGTATGGTTAATCATCCCAGAAATTCAATTTATCATTTTCTCACGTTGTCACGCCAGTGTAGTTAAAAAAGAACTTTATTGGATACTGTAATACGAACAACTATTAATTCTAGGTAAATTAAAAATGTATGTTACATATGTGGTTATTCAGTTTTCGGATTATTTGACCTTTTAATACAAATAATTAATTTGTTGAGTACTCGTAATGCGAAGTGGATTTTATTATCTTCAACAACCAGGGGA